GAAATGGCAGAGATTGTTGTGTCGTACTTGGACAAAAATGGATACCTCAAGACATCTTAAAAACACTCCAAAAAGTCACATACGGATATGATTTATATATAACATACACATCTCTTGTAATCCAAAAAAAGTGTTTATCTCATGTATATCATTAACCTGCGCCTTTAATTATTTCAATGCAATAATAAGATCATTACTGTGCAACATTCCTTAACCTTTTAAGATGATGATCAAATGCTAAAACATTACTATGGCCACAAAGTTGGCGCCAACACTCCGGCTGAATACCGTTTATTAATGACTTGGGCCTAAATTTGTTCGGCCCAATTTGAACAAACAGGTCTTTAAAAACTCGGGTCGGATTCTATTTGGGCCGGATCGGGTTTTACGGCGGCGTCTTCTATAATAAAAACAAACAATTAGCGGTGGCGATGGTGGTCGTCGTCTCAGATCGGTAACGTTAGGGTTTCTCAGCTTACTAGAATCGAACTCGGAAATCTATCAGTTCGTGTTATTTCCCGATCCGGATTTTGGATCGTTCGAGTCAATTTCGGAAGAAGAAAGTAAAACGATGGGGAAGAAACAACATAGCAAAGATCGTATGTTCATAACGAAGACAGAGTGGGCAACGGAATGGGGCGGAGCTAAATCCAAAGAGAATCGTACTCCTTTCAAGAGTCTTCCTTTCTATTGCTGCGCGTATGTTGTTGTTTGATTTCAACAATTTCACAATTTTTATTCGACGATTCTTCGAAGTTTTTAATTTCTCTGATTTTTTCAGGCTTACGTTTCTTCCGTTTGAGGATCCTGTGTGTACAAGCGACGGGAGTGTTTTCGAGTTAACGTGAGTAGCTTTTTTTCAACTTAGCCATTAGAGCTTCTTGATTTTGAAATTTGGGTTTTTTTTGTTTGAATTTTTTTGCAGGAGTATAGTGCCTTACATTAGGAAATTTGGTAAACATCCAGTTACAGGAGCACCATTGAAAGGAGAAGATCTAATTCCTCTCGTTTTTCACCAGAACTCTGAAGGTTTCTTGTTTTTTTTCCTACTAATCTGATGATTCTTTGGTTTGTTGTATCGTTGTGATTTGATGAAACGTAGCTATGCGTCTGCCATTGTAGGAGAGTATCATTGTCCTGTTCTGAACAAAGTCTTCACTGAGTTTACACATATAGTTGCTGTGAAGACTACAGGAAATGTATTCTGCTACGAGGTTTGTGTTTTTCGTTTGGTTCTTGTTCTAGAGTTATTCTGGTTTTCAGTGATTCTTATTGTTGTCTTTATAAAATTTAGGCAGTAAAAGAATTAAATATCAAGACTAAGAATTGGAAGGAGCTTTTAACAGAAGAACCATTCACAAGAGCCGATCTTATAACAATTCAGGTAACTAACCTCTTACTCTCTAAGCTTGAAGCTTTTTGCAATGGGTTATGTCGTGAAAGTGTATTTACTTGACTTTGGTGATGTCTTGCAGAATCCTAATGCAGTTGACAGTAAAGTAACTGTGGAGTTTGATCATGTTAAGAACGGCCTGAAGATCGACGATGAAGGTTTGATATAGTTTTTTTATTCGACCAAGCAATTTATTATCACAGTCCATGTTTTTAGTTGATTATGACTCCTTGCTCATGTATTGTACAGAATTGAAGAAGATGAACTCAGACCCAGCTTATAATATAAACGTCTCTGGAGATATCAAGCACATGCTTGCAGATCTTGGAACTGAAAAAGCTAAGGAGATTGCTTTACACGGTGGAGGAGGAAACAAGGCACGCAATGAAAGAGCCGCTGCTATTGCTGCAATTCTAGAGTCAAGGTCGAAAATCAAAGAGGATTCTAAAGCAGACGAACCAAAGCAGACTTACAGTGTTGTGGATGCTGCATCTGCTTCGGTTCACGGAAGAACTTCTGCTGCAGCTAAAGCTGGTTCTAGTGATAAAACAGCTGCAAGAATAGCTATGCATATGGCTGGAGATAGAGCACCTGTTAATTCTAAAATGGTTAGTTTTTGGTACGGAATAAACTCGGTTTTGAGCTTTGTTTGTGTTGTTAAAAATGTTTGGGCTTTTTTTTTGTTTTTTCAGGTGAAGAGCCGTTATTCGTCAGGTGCTGCTTCTCGTTCTTTCACTTCCACTGCATTTACTCCTGTCACCGAAAATGATTTTGAATTAATCAAAGTCGAGAAAAATCCGAAAAAGAAAGGGTATGTTCAGCTTCAAACAACACATGGCGATTTGAACATTGAACTCCATTGCGATATAGCTCCTAGAGCATGTGAGAATTTCATCACTCTCTGTGAACGTGGGTACTACAATGGAGTGACCTTTCACAGAAGCATCAGGTATACATATATGCCTTGGAAATCTTTCTTTTTTTAAGAGGCTTTATTGGGATATTATTGATTAATGAAAAAATGTTTTCTTCACCTTCTTCTGCAAAGGAACTTCATGATTCAAGGTGGCGATCCAACTGGTACAGGGAAAGGAGGTGAATCCATTTGGGGAAAGCCATTCAAAGACGAGCCAAACTCGAAGCTGCTTCACTCTGGAAGAGGGGTAGTTAGTATGGCTAATAGTGGTCCACACACAAATGGTTCTCAGTTTTTCATTTTATACAAATCAGCAATCCATTTAAACTACAAGCACACAGTCTTTGGTGGAGTTGTTGGTGGTTTACCAACACTAGCAGCAATGGAGAATGTACCTGTAGATGAAAGCGACCGTCCTTTGGTAAGTTTTCAAAGTCACTCACTGTGTTCTTGACTGGTTTCAGCCTCCTGAGATTGTAATTTTAAATTCTACAGGAAGAGATCAAGATAATCGAGGCAAATGTGTTTGTGAATCCATACACGGAACCT